GCTCACCAGGAAGATCTCTGTTGTTCTTAACAACTCCATTAGGCATGAATTTCTCCACCCTCTGTTCCAAATAAATTCAGCTATTTCAAGCAGAGTTGCAGAGCATTTCTTTCAGCCTGCCTATCCTCCTGGGCAGAATGTTTGTGCTATTGTACCAGAGCTAGGGATGGGGATGGCAGCCTGTTTCTCCTGGAATGAAACTCCTGTTCTATTAGTGGGTAATGGGGAGAGAGTTGGTATCTCACTTGCCCCTCCCATGGAACTTCTGCTCTATGAGTGAGCTGGGATGGGACAATTGAAGACCCAGTATTCTTAGCCTGCTGTGCCTGGGGTAGAGCTTCTGCTCTATGAGTAGGGGCTAAGTGAGGGAAGGAAGCTCTAGTCCTCTTGGTCATGCCTTCTAGAACAGAGCTTCTGCAAAATGGTCTTGGGAGAATGAAAAACACCAGCTGTCTGCTTCTCCTGGGGTGAAACCATAGCTGGGGGAGAGGGAGACCCCATTGTCTTGGCCACTTGCCCAGAACAGAGTTCCATAATATGAAGCTAAGGAGTAGGGATGGGAGCTGGTCGTGGCTCAAATACCACAGACTCTCGCCAAGAACTCTTGGTTCTTACCAAGAATTTTTAGATTTTCTTGCATAAATATTTCTCAATTTTCTGTATGCCCTTAGGACAATTTCCACAGAACTTGAATAGTTATTTTTAAAAAATAATTTTCACCAGATAAATAGCTTTCTCTCTGGAGAGAGAATCAACCGAGTTCCTCATGCAGCCATTCTGGAAGTCCAAAATAAAAGTTTTAAAGTCTGTCCAAACATTTGGCAATTTTCAAGATATTTTTCTATTATTGGTTTCTAGTTTAATACTGTTATAATTTGAAGACATATTCTGTACAATTTTAATTCTTTCAAATTTGCTACTATTTGTTTAATGGCCCTGTAATATGCTCTATTTTGGTGTATGCTCCATGTACACTCAAAAAAAGGTATATTGTGTTGTTGCTAGGATATAGTATTCTATAAATGTCAGTTAGGTCTAACTCATTGATACTGTTTTACAGATCTTATATATACTTAGTAGCTCTCTGTATACTTGTTCTATCAATTATGAAAGACATGTTAAAGTTCCAAATTCTAATTGTGGTTAGAATGTCTTTTTCCACTTGCTCTGTAAATTTTGAAGGTCTGTTGTTAGCTCCATTTAGGATCCTAACATATTTAGGATTTTGTTTATCATTATGCAATTAATGTCTTTATTTATCCCTGACAATATTCTTTGTTCTGGTGTTGACTTTGCCTGATAGCAATCTAGCCATTTCTTCTTTTGATTAGTGTTTGCATCATATATCATATTCTATACTTTCCCCCATAACCCGTCTATATTTAATGTGGGTAAATAGTTGTGCTTTTTAAAAAATATCCTGTCTGACAGTCTGTCTTAATTCATATAATACAACATGAACGTGAATTAATAGAATCGCTAATTCATCTAATAGATTCATTTACCTTTGGTGTAAGTATTGTTATTGTTGGATTAAAATCTACCATCTTGCTAGTTGTTTTCTATTTGTCCCATCTCTTGTTTCTCTTTTCCTCTCTGCTTTTCTTTAAATTAATGGAGTATTTTTTTTTTTTTAGAATAATTCTTTATTTTATTTATTTTTGGCTGTGTTGGGTCTTTGTTTCTGTGCGAGGGCTTTCTCCAGTTGCGGCAAGCGGGGCCACTCTTCATCGTGGTGCGCGGGCCTCTTCACTATCGCGGCCTCTCTTGTTGAGGAGCACAGGCTCCAGACGCGCAGGCTCAGTAGTTGTGGCTCACGGGCCTGGTTGCTCTGCAGCATGTGGGATCCTCCCAGACCAGGGCTCAAACCCGTGTCCCCTGCATTGGCAGGCAGATTCTCAACCACTGCGCCACCAGGGAAGCCCATGGAGTATTTTTTATCCTCACTATTGTCTTACTTATTATAGTTATTTAACTTTTCTCTAGTTTCCCTTGAGTTTACAGTGAATATCTTTAGTTAATTGTCCTCTTTCTTCAAATAACAGGATTAGTTTTTTAGGTAGTGCAAGGGCCTTATAACAGTATCTCCCATCCTTTATTAGTTTTCTATTGCTATCTATGCTATGGTATAGATAGGGAGATATCTATGATATCTCTGGGAGATATCTATGGGAGATAACAGTATCTCCCATCCTTTATTAGTTTTCTATTGCTATCTATACTATGGTAAAATCACTTTGATGATAAATAACGTTTTTTGAATCACAAGTTATATCAAGCTACTTTAAAAAAGTCCCTGTGCTGTCCAAAATTAAAACAAGGAGCAAGACATACATTTCAACACACATTTGCAGTAGATATATTTTCTGAGCTTTCTGCTACAGTTCGAGAAGCAGTTTTTGGACCTTAATTAAGCAGTTTTAACCTACCTTAAGCAGTTTTTGGACCTTGTGCAAAGGACATTTACATATTTCAAAAATCCACTTAGCATTGCAGTTGAGGAGCTTCCACCTAAACTTCAATGAAGTGATTAATTTGCAATGTAATGACAGGATAAAAGGCACGTATCAAGAGAAAAATCCAAAAGAACTCAATAAATGCCTTCCAAGTGAAGATTTTTTTTTTTGCTCAAAGCCATATGTTCATAGATTAATAGCAGCATTTGATGATGGCACTTATCTGCATGAAAAGACACTCTTAGAGATGAAAAGCATATGGGCTTCCCTGGTGGCGCAGTGGTTGAGAGTCCACTTGCTGATGCAGGGGACACGGGTTCGTGCCCCGGTCCAGGAAGATCCCACATGCCGCGGAGCAGCTAGGCCCGTGAGCCACGGCCGCTGAGCCTGCGTGTCCAGAGCCTGTGCTCCGCAACGGGAGAGGCCACAACAGTGAGAGGCCCACGTACTGCAGGAAAAAAAAAAAAAAAAAAGATGAAAAGCATAGGGACTTCCCTGGTGGTCCAGTGGTAAAGAACCTGGCTTCCAATGCAGGGGACGCGGGTTCGATCCCTGGTCGGGGAACTAAGATCCCACATGCCGCAGGGCAACTAGGCCTGCGTGCCACAACTACTGAGCTCGTGCGCCTCAGCTAGAGCCTGCGTACAGCAAACTACAGAGCCCACGCACCCTGGAGCCTGCGCCCCACAACTGGAGAGGGAAAAAACCCGCATGCCACAACTAGAGAGGTCTGCCCGCCGCAACTAGAGAGAAGCCTGAGCAGAACGCACGGGATAATGAAAAGATCCCGCCTGCCTCAACAAAGATCCCGTGCGCTACAACTAAGACCTGACGCAGCCAAAAAAAAAAAAAAAAAAAGATGAAAAGCATAAAATATAGGGTTGGCCAAAAAGTTCTGGCCAACCCAATATCATTACAGTTCGCCATTAACAGAACATTTACAATTGATTTTGATGATGGAGAATGCTAACTTTGAACCCCAATTAAGTTAAATGTTATTCCTCCCCTCTCCAAAATTTCAATCTTCTCATTAGTAGATTTATATTATAAAATATTATATCCAATTCGTATTATTACTGTTTTTGAGGAAATGGTTCTTTCTTATAAGAAAACCTACATAATATCCTTAATTTTATCTTATGGTTGGCAAATTCTAAAATATTTGCTATCTGGCCCTTTATAGAAAGTGTTTATGGACCTCTGAACTAAAGCCTTCAAATATATTCATCATAGCATTTAAAATTCCCCGTGTGATAGTTCCAAAATCCATGTTATGTCTTACTCTAGTTCTGTTGATTGGTTTGACTCTTGAAAGAGTGTTGTTTATTTTTTGTTTGTTTGTTTGTTTTATTGTGTGTCTTGTCATTTTTGGTTGAAAGTTAGCCATCTTGTGTAGAATAGTAGAGACTTAAGCAATACTATTTATGTCCAGAAATGGGTATGTCTTTTCTTTAGTGGGGAGTGTTGAGATAATTGTGTCCTGATTGTCTCTGATTTTTGTTGTTGCTATGGTTACCCTCAATATGCAGCAGGCTTCAGACTCTTCTAGTGTTATTTTTTGCTTAGAGTGGTAGCTGATTTGTTGGAGAGTTTCTCTCAGTGTCTTCTCCACTCTCACCTATCTGTCCTCTCTTTGTGCCTGTGTCTCACAGAAGATGTCTCTCCATGCTTTTACTCTCTCTTCTAGCAATAGACTGCTGTTACTTGTTCCTGGACACTTGCTAGTAGAGGGAGGAGGTGGGGCATTCTTTGTTGTCCTGATTCAGCCTCCCTCTTAGGCAGGTGCTATATTCTTGGCTCTCAGTGACCTTGACCCCCTCGCTGTATAGATCTCTATAAGTCTGGTCCGGGAGAGTTTCCTGCTCCTCCCCCAGGGATAGAGGTTATTTTATGTTCTCTTCACCCAGCTACAGTAGGCTTTAAACTGTGTCCTGAAAATTACAGTTTTATGCCCTTCCCCTAGTTGCATAAGGCAGCATCTCCTCCTCTTCCTCCTTCTTCTCCTCCTTCTCCTTCTTCTTTGGCAGCACAGGGGGAGAGGAAACAGAATAGAAGGACCCAGGCCAGACTTCATACCTTTCCCATAGTGATTCCTGCTTACCTCTCCAAAGACTGCACTGTAATTAAGGCTTACAATTTTTAAAAATTAATTAATTTATTTATGGCTGTGTTGGGTCTCCGGTGCTGCACGCGGGCTTTCCCCAGTTGCGGCGAGCGGGGGCCACTCTTTGCTGCAGTACGTGGGCTTCTCACTGTGGCAGCCCCCCCTGCTGTGGAGCACAGGCTCTAGGCGCATGGGCTTCAGTAGTGGCAGTGCGTGGGCTCAGTAGTTGTGGCTCACGGGCTCTAGAGCACAGGCTCAGTAGTTGTGGCGCACGGGCCCCGCTGCTCCGCGGCACGTGGGATCTTCCCGGACCAGGGCTCGAACCTGTGTCCCCTGCACTGGCAGGTGGACTCCCAACCACTGTGTCACCAGGGAAGCCCCAAGGCTTACAATTTTAACTTCTCAGTTTAAAAACTTCCTTGACTTTCCTAAAATATTTTCATATGCCTTATAACTGCAGGGTTGATGTAGTTGATGTAGTTGATAAGATGTAGTATCTGATCTTTTGGCTCACTGAATTTCAACATAAATTGAATTAAGAGCTTCATCAGAACTCTTACAAAAAAGTTAGGGCATTGATTGGGAGTGAGACCCTGAAAATTTACATGGGAATACATTTGGATAGATTTAGGACACCCTTACCCCCAGCCACGTTGAACCACTCTTGCTAACAGAAACAGCACCTCCTCCCATTTGATAAGGCCGGCCACCTCCACCTTAGAGACACTGCAATGACTTCATGTGAGTAAATTACATTATAAGGGCATACCAATTCTCTGCCTGAATCACCCCCGTCTTCACTGCCTCTAGACCTAATAACTAGAGTAAGATCCCAGCACGCTCTAGGACAGGTGCAAAGTATAACCCAGGGGTAGAAGGCTTCCTTACAAAAAGAACTGCAAGATTTTGCTGATCTACATTGGAAGGAACAAGGGGTATATATATAGGATGGGATTCAAAGGATTCTTGATTGGGAAGGCTTAGTCCCAAATTTATCAACAGTACACTTGCTAGAAATTTGGAATTCAGTTTGCTGGTTCAGGCAGGTGGGAATGATTCTACATGTTTACTGGGTTGTTTTAAACCTGAACGCAATAGTGGACCACACTAAAGGAGATTGATATGTCAGAAATTCCTTGGCCTAATGTGGAGAAAGGAATTCAAAGAGAGAGGGCTTTAGAGAATAACCCCTTCATCAAGACATTGAAAAATAAATTGTGAGGGGAACACCCATATCCTCGAAAAACACTGTAACTGGCTGTCCTCTTTTGGCTGGGGAAAAGTGGGAAGTACTGCAACTCAAAAGTTGTTATTGTTGTTTTTCCCCTGACTTCAACAGGGATGATGAAACCCAGAGAGGCAGAGGCCTGGTAGAAGCACTTATGCAACAAAGACAAATAGACATCAGGGGCATAGAGCTAATAAGAATGGATTGACCTGCGGGTATCTTTGGTGGTGGCTCATTTTTACAGGCATCCCCGCGACTGAAATTGCATAGCAGCCAGCTCCTTTGTCCAACCCACACCCACTTCATCTGTAGTCCCCCTCCCCCCAAATCTAGGTTTGGTGAATGAGGCCCTGCCTTGTGGAACCGTTATGGAGAATTAAGCCTCCTCAGCTAGTTCCCAGGATGCCCATCCTCACCAGCTCCAGGCCAGGTACCACACCAAGAAGGGCAGGGGCGTCAGAAAACACCCGCCTTTTAGAACCAACGTTAAATTGCAAGGTCCCTAGCAAGGACAGTCTCCTCAGATGTACCCTTACCCCTCGGACCTGGGCAGCGTTCTGGCTGGACACAGTCTGGCGTGAGGATCTGAGAGCGCGACCCTGTACTCTCAGGCAGGAGATTTCGTGGGCAGGGGCACGCAGAGCGCTGAGGCCGTCGCTGAGCCCATGGCGTCCCTGGGCGGCCCCTGCAGCCTCCTGGTCTGGCTTCTGTTCTTCAGGGCTGGCTCAGGGAGGCCCCAGCGGGTGGGTCAGTGACGCCCTCGCCCACTTCACCCCTCTCGGGAGGCGGCCTCGAGGACCCCACGGCGGACCAGCCAAGCCCTGGAGGGGGCTCAGGGAGCCCCTGGGAACCCTAGGTCCCCTGGGGCTCCGGGAGCCCCCAAGTTGGTGGAGTTTAGGTCAGGTGACTCTTCGCATTGGCCTTCTGGAGGGGCGGGCTGAGGCGCCAGGGTGGGGGCCGGTGCTCCCTGGGAGTTTGAGGGGATCGGGGTCTGAATTAGCGCAGCCCTGCTGTGGAGCCTGAGGGAGACGTGCCTCGTCTGTGGGTCCATGGCCTGTAGACTTGGAAGCGCTGTCCTGGAGCCTAGGAGGACATGGCCTTCTCGGCTGTCCGAGGGGCTCCAGGGAGACAGGGCCTGTTTCTTTGAGGTTCTCCTTGCTACCCTGTCCTCACCCCATCGTGGGGCCAAGTGTTCCTGAAAATCGTGGGAGGAAATCAGAGTGAAAGAAGGGAAGTGGCCCTGGCAGGTGAGCCTGAGGGTCAGTGGCAGACGTGTGCGAAGGTTCCCTCATCACAGCTCAGTGGCTGCTGACTGCAGCCCACTGTATTTTAAGGTGAGTAATGACAAGTGGAGATGTGAGAGTTCTGGAGCCAGTCCTGCCCTCCTCACATACCCACTAGTTTCTGCTGCCCTGCAAGTTGATAAAAACCCAACCCAAACCAAAGCACACACAATAAAAACGGGAGGGATTCTGCGCTGGTAGTCTTGTTACTGGGAATACTAGTTTGGTGAACAAAACCAATTGTTTGGGAGAGCAAACCAATTTTTTTTTTTTTTTACATCTTTATTGGAGTATAATTGCTTTACAATGGTGTGTTAGTTTCTGCTTTATAACAAAGTAAATCAGTTATACATATACATATGTTCCCATATCTCTTCCCTCTTGCGTCTCCCTCCCTCCCACCCTCCCCATCCCACCCCTCTAGTGAGCAAGCCAATTTTGAGAGTCATTAGGAGGGTTTTTTGGTGATAGGGTCGTAGCGAGAGTGGTGAGAGAGGTTGGGGCCACATTGGGAAACAGCTGATATGTGTGGAAAGGCACAAGGGATGCTTCCCAGGGTCTCTGTGAGGGACATGTCCTCCTCCCACAGCTGTTACCGCTGCAGTGTCATGATGGGAAATCGGAGTGTCTATGGTGAAATCTCAGGGTTGGTGGTTCCTATCAGCCGAGTCATTGTTCACCCTCAGTTCTCAACACGTGGAACTGTTAAATATGACCTTGCTCTTCTCCGGCTCTTCTACCCTGTAAATTTCACTGGGGTCATCCAGCCTATATGCATCCCTGAGAAGACTTTCCAGGTGGAAGCTGGGACCAGGTGCTGGGTGACTGGATGGGGCAAGCAACAAGAATTCAGTGAGACTGTGAGGCAGGAAGTAACCTTGGGCAGAGGGAGGCAGCCTTATCCCCGGAGTAGGCAACAACACTAAAGGGAGGGGTAGGGAAGCACACCACCTGGCAGGTGGGTTAGGGGGCAGCCAGGCTAATGGTTCCCAGTTGGCTTGAGCCCAGAAATTGGTTGAGATCTTTTGTTGCCACACAAATATTTGATGGCAGCCGTTTAAGCAAGGCACCAGTTCTGGGAACTAGAGCTGCTCAGGAGAAGAAGAAATACATGGGTGAAGTCTCCTGCAGATTTGTGGGGAACTGTGCCTGGTTGGTTTGGGGGCATTTTTAGGTTCCCTGGGGACAGAGCCAGATGCTCTGGAGTTCTCTCCAGGGTAGATTTCTGCTCAGGGGGTGATGAGCTGTCTGCCAGGCCGAGCTGTCCCTCGCTGGAGGTACCTGCCTTGGTGCCCAGGGACTTTCCTGTCCTTGGGAATGTTGGCAGAGCCCGTGGGCCCCAGTTGGTGAGGCTATAGGGCCTCCTGTCTCTGGGAAGAGGCTGGACTGTTCCTTTGGGTACTACCTGTCTGAGAGTCTGTGATTCTGCTTTAAAGTAAAGACACTTTGCTGATGCACCGGACACCTTTCATTATTACTATTGACGCACAGAGTGACAGATGCGTGGTTATCATTTCTCAGGCTGGTAGGGCCTCGCCTCTTCCTGTCCTGATCTGTTCTTCCTTCTCTTGTCCTGGTTTTGGTTCCTACCTTCTCTTCTCCCAATGTCAGCTTTGGGCTTCAGTTTCCTCCGTTGTCAAATGGGGACAATATCCTCTGTGCTGCCTTCTTCAAGAGGGCTTCAAGGTGTTTGGGGGCTTACTGTCTGCCTGTGCAGATCTACCCACTGCTGAGTTTCTTTGCTTGTAGGTGGCCCGTTTGTCTCAGTCTTTCTCTGGGAGATGGACCAATATATCATCTACTATGAAGAATGTAATGGGATGATCCAGAAGGCCATGCCAGCAGATAAGGAGGTAGTACTGGAAGGAGTGCTGTGTGGCTATAATAGTATAGGAAACGATTCTTGTCAGTTAAGTTCATGGGTCCCTGGCCACCTCTGCCATGAGGTTGTCCCCTCAAAGTTTCCTCATTCCCCAGTGGCAGGGCCTGGGTTATTTGCCCCCTCCTCTTTCAGCCTTTAATTAAGGAGATTCAGGGGAGAACCCCTCAGGATGCCCCTGAGCTGGCCTGGCCCGTTCCTTCAATAGGGAGCAGCCCTCGCATCCTGGGCGTGCTGCCAGGGTGTGGTGAAGTTGGGGGTGATGATGATAATAATGTAAGTTCCTACAATTGAGTTCCCTCTATGGCGACTTACTGTGCCAGTGTGAGCATTCACCCACATTAGCTCAGTTACCCAGCTCACAACCCCACAACATAATTATACATATTATTATACAGATGTGGTCCCTACAAGACATAAGTTCAAGGTCCCCCTGGGAGTGCCTGGGCCCACAGTCTTCCCTTTGCACCAAGCAGCCTTTCTGAGCAGGGGGCATCTGAGCCAGGTCTTAGAGGATGAGTATTTGGAGTCTTGGAAAGAGAACATCACTGTTGGGAGAGGGAACAGCAAGTACAGAGGCTCAGAGTTCTGAAGAACATGTCATGTTTAGGGAATGTGTTTCAGGTCTGGGGCAATGAGGTGCCAAATATGGCCTGAGAAGGTGATTGGAATCAGAATATGTGTGGCCTGCAACGCTGTGCTATGTTTCTCGTTCCTGTCCATGCAGGACCGTAGGCCAGGAGTTTGTTTTCACCATGTAGGCAATGGTGTTGAGCCCCGGGCAGGACCTGGGCTGGTGGGGAGGTGAAGGGGTTGTGTTTGAGGTTGAGTCATCAGTTCTTGGTGACTGACTGCCTGTGAGGGTGCGGGTGAGGGAGAGCTTGAGGAGGACTCTGAGTTTCTGACTGAGCTGGTAGATGGGGGGCCACCAGAGCAGTTTTGGGAAAGGATGTGCAGCGTGTGTGAGGTGGGGTTTAGCATGACTGGTTGTGTTTGGAGAGAGGGGGAACTCGTGAGAGGATGCTATTGGCTATGTGGGTTTAGGGGCAGGGAGAGATTTCAGGGTAGATGTGATGATTTTGAGTCCCCGTGCAGAAATGATGCTCAAAGTATTTTACAGCTGTGGAGGCCTAGGACTGACTAGTTGGAATTGACTCTGACCTTAGAGTTGGAGAGGGGCTCTGGAAGCTGCACACAGTGCCAGGGGATGCCCCTTTAGTTGCTGGCTGTTGGGAGGTTTGGAGAGGGTCATGGGGAAGGGGTCAGGCAGTGAAGGATTAGGGTCATTGAAAGAGAATTTGAGTATATCCTGGCAGGACTGATGTACAGGGCTTACTGGCTTTATAGCTCCTGTGGGTCCCTGAGCACCTGGGAAGGAGTAGTATTTCTCAGATGATGTTAAAGTTTCCAACTCTCAAATCTCATTCACAGAAACCTGGGCCTGGTGGGTACCTGGAAAAGGACCTAGGTACCTATCTCCCTAGTGCCTTGCTAGCAATCAGCCTGCTCTGTTGATGATCCCCTTCCATTCCTGTGTTTGTTTCTTCTTTTTCTCCAGGGAGATTCTGGAGGTCCCCTGGTCTGTCAATTTACTGACTCATGGGTCCAGGTGGGGATTGTGAGCTGGGGTGTTCACTGTGGTCACACAGAATTGCCTGCAGTTTATACAGAAGTTAGTTACTACAAAGACTGGGTCATTGATCACATCATTAAGGTGTCCTCTTGTGGCTCAGCAGGGTTCTTTATCCTAACGCTGTGTCTGGTGCTGCCTCTGGGCATCCTGCCGACCCCGTGATCACCCTGGCCCACACTCCCTCCTGTTTCTGAATCTCACACTAGCTGTGCCTCTGACCTTCCATTCCTACTCAATGCACTTTCCTCAAACCTGTTTGGGATCCACTGACCCTGTGGAGATCCACATGACAGAGAGTGGCAGCAAGAAAGGAACCCTGGAAGTTTTCCAGTCTGGTGCTCAAGGAACCGGCCTCATCCACACCTACACCGTGACTGTGCTCTACATGCCGGAAAGGAGTGGGTGAAACCATCCCAGCTGGATGGCCAGTGACCTGCCAGGTGATGCTTCATGATGCTTCATCCGCATCTTGGAGAACACCTAGCAAAGGAGGGACATCATCTCCGGTGAAACAGCGTTAGACCTGACACTTTATCAAACCAGTCCGCTTGGTGATGGTTGGGAGAGAGTGAGGAGGCATCACCATGTCCACACCTGACTCGGCTGTCTGGGTTGGGAGAAGGTCCCCGGCTGCCCAGTGCGGATGCATCTGTGAATGTCCAGCGTCTGCCACACAAGCCCTGCTGGGGCAACTCAGTCTAGGAACCCCCTTCCCAGTGCTCCAGTGGCCACATTCAGGCTCACCCCAAGTTGTGTTGAGGCAGTTATGGAGTATGGAGATTTCTGATGTCAACTGAATAAATGTTTGGTTTGTTCTTTTTTGTTCTTATGCTCTGCTCTCCTTGGGACTGTGGGGTTGCATATAACATGCTCTGTAGAAAACAATTTTCTCATTTGGCTTAGAAACTATTCATGGTTCTTATTAAGCCCTAGAGGGAGAGATGAGTCTAAACCTGCTCATTTGTGAGTCTAAGGATGGTTTTAGCCAGCTGGGTCCTGCTCCCTGTACTCCTGTTATAGTCATCAGCATGTCTGCGGGGAGCTTTGTAGCCTAATTTCGTAGCCTTTATAGCTCAGAGTAGAGAATCAAGATAGACTGGAACTAGGAGTAAGTAAAATTAGGGCATGAGCAATATTATTCCTCCTCCCCTGCTTCTACTTGCTGCTCACCTCCACTCTTACCAAAGATTGCATTCCCATAGGGAGGATTATAAGAGAGATTCCCTATATTAGGTACTGGCTCTTTACCATTTTTCCAGGACAGAGTGTCCCAGAGTCTCTGTGTCTTGCTGGTGATTAATTCCCTCTCAATCTCCTGTCACCTGCCCTTCCAGGGGTCAGCATTTCAGCTCCCAGATATCCCTGAGCTTCAGAGTGTAGTCTGTCTCATGTGTTGCCCGAGGAAGGCTGGGGTTGAGAGACTTACATGAAATACAGTCTATTAATAAGTATCGAGCCAGCTGCTTTAAGAAGCCACTGAAAATCAAAACAGTGTGGTAGGGGCACAAAAACGACATATGGATCAATGGAACAGTATAGAGAGCCCAGAAACAAACCCACACATGTATGTTCAATTACTCTTCGACAAAAGAGGCAAGAATATACAATGGGAAAGAGACAGTCTCTTCAGCAAGTGGTGTTGGGAAAGTTGGACAGCCGCATGTAAATCAATGAAGTTAGAACACACCCTCACACTATACACAAAAATAAACTCAAAATGGCTTAAAGGGGACTTCCCTGGTGGTCCAGTGTAAAGAATCCGCCTTCCAATGCAGGAGATGTGGGTTCGATCCCTGGTCAGGGAACTAAGATCCCACATGCAGTGGGGCAACTAAGCCCTTGCGCCACAACTACCGAGCTTGCGTGCTTGAACTAGAGAGCCTGTGTGCCACAAACTACAGAGAGCCCATGCCCTCTGGAACCCACACACCACAACTACAGAGCCCACGTTCCTTGGAGCCTGTGTGCCACAACTAGAGAGAAGCCTGCGTGCTGCTGTGAAAGATCCCACAAAGCTCAACAAAGATCCCATGTACCGAACTAAGACCTGACGAGGCCAAAAATAAATAAATAAATAAAATAATAAATAAATCTTTAAAAATATGGCTTAAAGACTTAAATATAAGACATGACACCATAAAACTCCTAGAAGAGAACATAGGCAAAACTTTCTGACATAAATCATACCAACTTTTACTTAGGTCAGTCTCCCAAGGCAATAGAAATAAAAACAAAAATAAACAAATGGGACCTAGTCAAATTTACAAGCTTTTGTACAGCAAAGGAAACCATAAACGAAAGGAAAAGAGAACCTAGTGACTGGGAGAATACATTTGGAAATGATGCGACCAACAAGGGCTTAATTACAAAAATATAAAAACAGCTCATACAACTCAACAGCAAAAAAACGAACAACCCAATCAAAAAACGGGCAGAAGACCTAAATAGACATTTCTCCGAAGAAGACATACAGATGGCCAACAGGCACATGAATAGATGCTCAACATCACTAATTAGTATAGAAATGCAAATCAGAACTACAATGAGGTATCACCTCACACCAGCCAGAATGGCCATCATCAAAAAATCTACAAATAACAAATGCTGGAGAGGGTGTAGAGAAAAGGGAACCCTCCTACACTGTTGGTGGGAATGTAAATTGGTGCAGCCACTATGGAAAACAGTATGGAGATTCCTCAAAAAGCTAAAAATAGAGTTACCATATCATTCAGCAGTCCCACTTCTGGACATATATCTGGACAAAACTATAATTATAAAAGATACATGCGGACTTCCCTGGTGGCACAGTGGTTGAGAATCCGCCTGCCATTGCAAGGGACACGGGTTCGATCCCTGGTCCGGAAAGATCCCACATGCAATGGAGCAACTAAACCCATGCGCCGCAACTATTGAGCCTGTGCTCTAGAGCCCATGAGCCACAACTACTGAGCCCACGCGCCACAACTACTGAAGCCCGTGCGCCTAGAGCCCGTGCACTGCAACGAAGAGTAGCCTCCGCTCGCTGCAACTAGAGAAAGCCTGCGCGCAGCAATGAAGACCCAATGCAGCCAAAAAAAAGAAGATACATGCACCCCCTATGTTAAGAGCAGCACTATTCACAATAGCCAAGACATGGAAACAACCTAAATATCCATTGACAGATGAATGGATAAAGATGTGGTACATATATATAAAGGAATACCACTCAGCCATAAAAAAGAATGGAACAATGCCATTTGCAGCAACATGGATGGACCTAGAGATTACCATACTAAGTGAAGTAAGTCAGAAAGAGAAAGACAAATACCATATGATATCACTTATATGTGGAATCTAAAATATGACACAAATGAACTTATCTACGAAACAGAAACAGGCTCACAGACATAGAGAACAGATTTGTGGTTGCCCAGGTGGGGAGGGAGAGGGATGGATTGGGAATTTGGGATTAGCAGATGCAAACTATTATATATAGAATGGATAAACAATAAGGTCCTATTGTATAGCACAGGGAACTATATTCAATATTCTGTGATAAACCATAATGGAAAAGAATGTGAAAAAGAATATCTATACCTATATAACTGAATCACTTTGCTGTACTGTAGAAACTAACACAACATTGTCAATCGACTATACTTCAATAAAATAAATTTTTAAAAAAGAAGCCACTGAGTATTTATGGGTTAAAAATAAATTTAACTTCTTGTTCCTGTATCATCCCTATCAGGTGTTCTTGATCAGCAGGTGGCTTTTCTCCATCTTATAGCTCCACTCAACCCTGTGGTTCATGCTTACCTACCTCAGAATTCCCTGGAGGGCTTGTTAAACTACAGATCACTGATTCTACTCCCAGAGTTTTCAATCCTATAAGTCTGGGGTGGGTCCTGAGAATGTACAACTCTAACAAGTTCCCAGGTGACGCTGGTGCTGCTCTGCAGACCACACTTTGAGAACCATTGCTCTGCATTAACACAAGTAGAGAAGTGAACCTCCTCTCTACTGCCTTGGCATGGAAGTGGCATCTGTAACCTCTCCTCACCTCCTATTGGTGCAACTCATCATCTGGACCCCTTTAGATGCTAGGGTGGGGAATGTGGTCTCCAGAGCTGGATCCCCCACACTGGACAGGAGCAGCAGGAATCTTGGTTGTCATCTCCCAATCTTGGACACACTGAGCAGATCCAAAGACCACATTCTTCTACATAAACACCCTGTGAAAGCCCAAGAAATGGTGGTATTCGCCACTATTTCTTTCAGTTTCCACCATCCCACTGACGGTTTGTGGAAGAAGATAAATGCCTTTCCTTTGAGTTCTCCCCCAAGACTCTTTGTTCATCTTAGGTCCAGCTTAAATGTCACTTTTGTAAAGACATCCTCCCTAATTCCTTAACCTTACTGTTCTTTTCTTGTGCTTTCTACACCTTTTCAGATTCTCAAATCAATATAAATTATGAAGCTCTCCAATGCACGAAGCCCAGGGAAACAAGGTTATGATCAGAGGCTGGGCGACAAGGTGCCAACACTAGTCCAGGCATTTGGATGTGCCTTCACCGGCCAGGTTTTGGGGGACAGTCACCCACTTAAGGCACTTGGGGGTACTTCCATGGGACTGGCCACCACGGAGGCAATGACAAGCCCCGGGCTCTGCAGTCATCTTCAAGGAACCCGCACGAGGTGGGGTAAGTTCAGAGGAACGTTCAGCGTTCCAGGGGCACCGTCACAGGTCCGCTACGTCATCACGTGCTGGAGGGGCTGTCACGTGCCGGAACTCCGTCACGTGCGTCATGTGCGGGAGACGTAGTCGTGGCGTCCGGGGCTCCTGCGAGCCGTCCCTGCTGCCGCTAGCGGACGCCTCAGGGGCCTTATGGCCGCATTGTTGACCTGCCTCAGCGCTGGGCCTGCAGCCTCGAGGCCCTCGGGCCGGAGCTGCCACCTCCTGGTGCTGATGCTGCTGAACTCCGGTGAGGCGGCGCCTGCTCTGCGCCGCTCTCGTTCTGGGTCCTTCCTCCCCGACGCCGCCACCCCCGCCCCCCAAAACCCACACTCGAGGCCGGGACAGGCCCCGCGGCGCCCATCTGCAGCCCCTTCTCCTCTGCTACCCCTCCGGGCATCTCCCAGGGCGGTTCCGGGGATCCCAGACTCCCGCGCTCTCAGCTTCCGCCCTGAGACCCGCCAGTCCTGTAGCCTCCTGGGGCCTTGTGGTGCGGGGGGCATCTCTGCGTTTCCTCCTGGAGGCGTGGATGTCGCGGCTGAGACCCGAACCACCCTCTTGACGGCATCCTCAGGGCTCATCTTCCCACGCAGCAGGGCACTGCTGGAGATCCCGCTCCAGGTAGGCGGTCCGGGCCAAACTCATGGTCTCCAAACACTTAGACGAATGTTCCTCACCTCACTTGCTTCCCAGACCCTCAGCTCCTACCGAGGGTGCCTCTCTAGCAGCGGCTTCCTTCCCTCAGGAAACGCATGCCCTCAGGTGCTGTCCCCTTGACTCCCTCAGCCCGGGGACCCCTCCAAACCTGACAACTCAGTGCCACCCGCTCCCCTTTCCTTAGGAATCAGAGACAGACCTCCTGTTCAAGGTCAGGCTGCTCACCCCTGCTCTGGACTCTGGGCCCTTCCTGGGCTCTCATCGATCTCTATCCTCTCCCTTTCTATTTGCTGTGTTTCTTCACGCTATCTCTTCCCCTCACTGCCACATTTCTCAAAATAAGTTTTCACTTCATGTTTCCTTCAGGTGCTTCCTCACTTTTCGCTTAACCCTTAGCCCATTCCTGGCATGCCTCTGTCCTAACATCCCTAACCTTTCTGCTCCTCCCTCTTTTTCCGTTTTCTCTAGTCCCTTGGCTTCTCTCAGGCCATGCCTCCTAATTCTCCTCTACCTCAGGGTGACTCCCTTGCCCTTCTGTGTCCCTCCCAGGCCACCCGTGCTCTGTTCATCCCTGACGTATTGGTGTTCCCTAAGATGCTGTCTGGGTTCCTTCTTCACTGCTCCCTGGGTGAGCTCACTTGCTCTGGGCATTGAGCTGCCATGTATGTGATGCTGCCTCGCAAAACAATGTGCATGGATGTGCAGCCACCTACTGGACATCTGTACCTGGATGACCTAGAACCATCTCAACTCCTTGGGTTCCAAAGTTGAGGCCCTCTTCTTCCTGTAAACTGGGTTCTCTTACTCAGTGGATAGTAGTCACTCTTCTCTAAAGTCAGAAACTGGGGGGTCATCCTAGGCTCAGCCTTCTCCCCCAGTCCCACACCCAGCTCACCAAGTGTGTTCTCACTGCCACTTCTTCATTCAGCCCTCATTTCTTGCCTGGGTTCTGCAGAGCCTATGGTGGGATCTTACTGCGTTCAGTCTTGTTGCCTTCCTATCTATTCTCCATACTGCCTTCACAATACAAGTCTGACCATGTCACACCTCCATTGGCCTCCCTCCTCCCAGAGTGTCTCACTCAGGCTTCTTGGCCTGGCTTATGAAGGCACTCATGATGACCCCTGACTTTCTTGCCCTGGCATCATTTCTTGTCATCATGGGCCTTGCCCTTTATCCTCCGGAGTCTCCAGCTTACACCATGGTGTTTCTTTCATAAAGAATGTCATCACTTTTCATTTCTGTTTTACCTTCCCATCCTTAAGATCTGGCACAATAACCTCTTTTCCTAGAAGCCTCCCTGTCCACCACTTCTTCGGGGCTTACCTGACACCTGTGGCCTTGTCCCCACATTGATCGCACATGGGTGATTGTGTGTTTACTTATGTCTTCTCTGCTGGGCAACCTGCTCTTCAAGGGCAAATACAGGATGTATCTGTCTGATACACCTCTGTACACCCCTGCGCCCTGCCCCCAGCCCCCTGGCCTTGGGCTCCAGGCTGGGAACAGAGTGGGAGGTGGGGAAATATTTGGTGAATGAATGAATTAACTAATTAATGAAGAATGCACCTCTTCACTGTCATCCTATTACAACCTCTTACTTCATCTCTGTCCCCCTTTCTCCTCCAGGTTACAAAGGAGACAACACCAAACCAGGTGGGTAAGGTGAGCCCCTGCTTCAAGAAAACCTTGGATCCTGGGAGGGTACGTTCTGAAGAGGGTCACAGAGATAATGTTTCTGGGTCTATAGGAAGCAGAAATTCAGTCTAAATGGCCTGCCTTCTAAAGAACAGCCTGTGCTGTTCAGGACGTACAGACTCAACAGTGCACATTAAAAGAGTATTTGGGCCTCCTGTGGGAATGCAGAACCTCTTCAAGTTCAACCCAGGCTGCATCCCATCAGGAAGCATGTCCAGGAGGCTGATGCAGATCCTTTTCCACATAGAAACATTTTGAGCTCTAAACTGTTCATTTGCAAGTGGAGCCTTTTGGGCCCTGTGGCAGTGTCTTCTGGGGTCTTCCTGTCATTTTCCTTAGACCTCAGTGGTGGAGGGTTGGGTTGCTCCTGCTTGTTTGCGGGCTTCCTTTGTCACAGGTGCACCCTAATTTGTTATGGATTGTTTGGTTGAGTAAGTTAGCTATTTCTGCTTGTGTCCACGCCCCACCCCTATTCCCCCTCTTCACCCTTCTCCCAGCCTTGCTTGTATATTTGATGTGTATCTTTCTGTTTGTGTGTGTTTTTGTAAAAATACATATTGTGGTTTTGTGTGCGTGTATTTCTACCTTACGCAAATAGCATGTTCTCTAGATCTCTTTCTGTTTCCTCCTCTTTTCATTCAGTCCCATTTAAAAAAACATTTTATTTGGAAATAATTTTAAACTTAGAAAAAAGACTGCAAAAATAGTACAAGGAACATGCACACACACAAAATTTTTTTCAGAATCAGTTGAGGGTAACATACAGTATGGCTCTTTAAATACTCTGGTGTGTGTTTTCTAAGAATATTCTCTTAGATAACCACAGTACAAGTTATCAGTTTCAAAAATTTACATTGATAGCATATTTTAATCTATTGCCCATATTCCAGTTGAGTCAGCCCTCTGCATTCCTACCAGCAGTTTGTGAAGATGTATATATTGCTACAGACCTCCCACCCCTTGGCAGGATCCAGCTTTTACATTTTTTGCCTATCTAATAGACAAAAAAGTGACTTCTTAGTTTTTTGGGTTTTTTTCCCACTTGAGGATTTTGTTTATTGTTTTCATAATTATTAAACATGCTAAAATCACATAGAGTGGCTGTTCCACTTCTGCTCTGACTCCACAGTGGGGCAGGTGAGAGCTACAAGGGTCACTTGGTTTTTGTGGCCTCTGGGGGTGGCTAGGCATGAGGGGTTAGAGGTAGGCAGGTTAACAAAGCCCCAAGAATCCTTCATATAGTACACCTTTACCAGCAGTAACTTGTGTCCTTAGAGATCTCCTCCTCCTTCATTTTTCTCTTCTTCCCAAATCAACTGGCGATTTCCTTCCCAAATCTTCCCATTTCCCTGCCTGTGGCCCCTTGAACCTCTTCCATTTCTGCCCCTTACGGTTCTAGACTAGACGATGAAGGAAACTTTTCCTTGTCTCTACCAGTCCCAGTCGGCCTTCCTTGGAACTAATCTACTGAGCATGCACTAACATGGGAGCAGTTTGATTTAGGTCTGCCCAGGGGAAAGGGAGGCTCCAGTCCCCACTGTGGCTTAGCTCATAGGAGGGAAGTTGAGGTCCTGATGAGAAGGATGTGAAGGTAAAAAATGCTACCTGAAGTGTGAATGTTGTAACCAGTGGAACGGGGCATATGCCCCACCCTCGGGCACCCTACTCTGAAGGCTTTTCCCTCACTCCCACATTGTCAGGGGTCCCTCTCTCAGCCTCAGATCCTCTTGCTCTTCAACCTCATAGGGCAGGCACAGGTACTGATCAAGGAGCTGTATCCCAAGGAGAAAATGTTTCACCCTTAAGCAAGTGGCTGCCTATTGAATTCTTCATCTTCCCTGTGTTCCTTGTGCCTCTGCAGCTGCGATGGCTTGAGGGACCAGAGAAAATAATGTATAAGTGTTGAACTTGCCTCAATGAGAAGCTTGAGGGACAAAGAGACAAAGATACATGGGAGTCAGAGCTGTGGAGAAGGGGAGGGAAGGGAGCAAGGTGAAGGGTAAGGCTGGTTATTCAGGAACTGGGATCCTTTTTCTTTTTCTGGAATCGCTGGAACTTGCCCTGAATAGCAAGGGCAGCCTTCTCTGTTTCTGGTGCTGTCAGATCAATGTCAATCTCCTCCTCCTCCTCAGCCTTCTTGGCATTGCCAGCTCTCCCCTATTCCTCTGGGCCAGCTGCCTGGTTGGTTGCTGGGGATGTTTTGGTGTTAAGCTCCTTCCAGGGCATTTATCAGCATTCAGATGATGTCTTGTCCTTCCACTTGAGCTTTAGATCCCATTCCCCTTTTCTCCTCCTCGGGAATCTTCACAATCAATTCTCTTGACTTGCTTATAAATAAAACGTCTTCCTTTTTCACTCAGTATGATAATCTCCAGGTCCATCCATGTTGCTGCAAATGGCATGATTTCATTCTTTTTAATGGCTGAGTAATATTCCATTGTATATATGTACCACATCTTTATCCATTCATCTGTCAATGGACATTTAGGTTGCTTCCATGACTTGGCTATTGTAAACAGCGCTGGTTTCAGGACTTAATGAAGCTCAGGTTCTTGATGTCTCATTGCAGAAAGAATTCAGTGAGAGGCAAAGTGATAGGTAAGAAGTGGATTTATTTAGAGAGAAACACACTCCCCAGACAGAGTGTGGGCCATCTCAGAAGGTGAGAAAAGGCCGACTTCTTAGTTTATCTGACATTTTTCTCATTACTAATGAGTTTGAGCATGTCTCAATGTGCTGTTGGCTTATTGAGTTTCCTCTTCTAATAAATTGACTGTCTTTATCCTTTGCATATTGTCTATTCTTTTTTCTTGTTGATTTCCTGGAGTTCCTTGTATATTCCTAATAAAAGTCTTGTATTGATTTTAGATATTGCAAATATTACCTCCTAATCTGTCATCTGACGGTTAACTTTGTTCCTGGGGTCAAAAATCCTTGATTTTGATGTAATCAAGTTAATCAGTTTAATGCTTTATGGATTGTGGTTTGAGGTTTTGTTTAAAGAGTCCTTTCCCACCCCATGCCACATGGTTGGCTGTTAACTTTATGGTTTTACCTTTCACGTTTAGGTCTTCAAGTACTACTAGAGAGGAATCCAGTTTTGGTTTTCTTATTTCTTTTATAGTGAGCGAGTTTTCCCAGCACCATCTACTCAACAATCCATCCTTTACTCACTGATTGTGGTGGCTCCTTTATTTACATGAAGTTCCTGTATTCTCTGAAACAATCTCAAGCTCTCTATTCCTTTTTTTTTTGGTCCACTTGTCTGTCCTTGTCAATACCACACTGTTTTTGTCACTATGGCTTTGATGTGTGCCTTAATATCTGCTAGGACAAGTGTCCCTTCTTTGCTTTGTCAAAGATGGAACTATTTATGGACCTTTGTTTTTCTATTTCAATTTTAGAGTAAGTTTATCAAATTTCTTAAAAATTCTAACTGGGTAAGTGACTTTATAGATTAATTTTAGGAAAAATTACATCTGAAATATTTAGTTATTCTATTTAAAAGCAATAGCTCTTTCTCCATTTATGCCAGTCATTTTCAGTGTCCTTCATTAGAGTTTAAAATGTATTACTGCAAAAATCTTGCTTAGTGTTGGATACTTTAATTCCAGGGTATTTTATAATTTTTAGCTATAAACTGTATCTTATTTTGAATATAGTTGTGCTATACTCAGGTTGGTTGGCATAGAGAAATATTATTGATTTCAAAAGTCAGTTACTGAAGTATTATATACATACACAAAAAAAGTGCACAAATTATGTGTCCAGCTCAAGAAATTATCACACAGTGAACGCACCTGTGCAGTCTCCACCGAGGTCAGAAAGTAGAGCAGTACCAGCACCCAGAAGCTCTCTTATGTCCTCCCAGTTACTTCCTTTGTCCTCCTCCCACAAAGTATCATTATTCCTGGCTTCAGAAAGTATAAATTTTTGGCCTGTTTCTTAATGTTATATGATGTTTGCTGTAGGTTTGTGGCATATAACTTGTATAAATAAGTATTTTCTTTCTGTTCCCAGTTTGCTAAGAGTGTTTTGTTTTTTAGTCGTAAATCTGTGTTGATTTTTTCAAATGCCTTTTTCTGTGTCTATTGAGAAAAGCACAGTTCTTTTAGAGAAAAATAACTGTTTATGTGGGGAATACACAGAGACCGCTTACATTGTGGGACCACCCTTGTACCCCAGGACAATCTCTACATGATCATGGTGCATAATTTTAAAAAATATAATATTGGCTAATATTTTATTTACAGTTCCTGCATCTGTGTTCATATTCATGCAGTCATACAACTTGATTGTTGGAACTACTTGCAAACTGATAGTGTGTCAGCTGTTACACAGAGTGGGAGGCCTCTGTTGGCTCCATGCTGGGACTTTTTCTTGAATGGTCTGTGTAAAGACTTCTGACCTAGAAGTCTGGAGCTTTTCTTGACTCTGAGTAGTGTGGGGACAGAGGCCTTTTGCATCTAAGAGATACAGAAAGCTTTATAGCCTTTCAGGAACGTGGCCTAGGGACTTACCCTGACACAAGAAAATACATTTCCTGTCCTGGGGCTCCTTCTATGCTTCTCCCTTGTTTTGAGGTTCTGTGCTGCTTGCTCCCTGTGTGTCTCAGTATCTCTCTCCTCCTCCTGTCATATCTCTGTGTTTCTGTCTTGATGCTTTTTATATCTGTCATTGTCATTTTCTGTCAGCTCAGTGCCTTTGGGCAGGCCACTGCTCTTCTCTCACCTTCAGTCTCCCCTTCTTTGAAATGGAAGCAAGCCCCCAAGTTTACAGCCTCATGCAAATTACCCTGGAGGGCATCTTGGTCACAGTCATTCTTATCCTCCTCTATGCGGCCACTGTATCTCCCTGTCACGCTTGTTCCTGAAGCTTGTGGCAAACCCTGGTGGCCGAAGAATTTGGACGTGACACGCCATTGGCCCTGGGAGGTGAGCCTCCGAGTGGAAAACGAGCATGTGTGTGGAGGAGCCCTCATTGATCTCGACTGGGTAGTGACTGCTGCCCACTGCATCCAAGGGTGAGTGTGGCCCACGGAGACCCAGGGCTGCAGCGGGCCCAGCCTAGACTCCTCGTTTCCTCTATGAAACAACGTGGCAGTGGGGGACGTGGGGCGGAGTGGGAAGGGATGTCCAGAACAGGGAAGAGTCATGCTCATGATCTCACAGAGGCCGGGGACAGAGCTTGGGCAGGAGCCCCAAGCAACAAAGACTATATCCTGACCAGGGCAACAGCATGCACCCCATATACACCCCACCCCTCACACACATTAGAACACGCGTGCATGCTAATAGCTGCACACTGAAATACACAGCACATAGACCAGGCCACTTGAATCAGCTTGACTGATGAATGAGGAGGCAGTCATATCTCTGATTCCGAGGGCCCCCTGGCTAGATGAGCAAGATGGAGTGAGCAGGGCAAATCAGGCAGGACTTCTGCTAAGGGGAACGTCCTTGGCGGAGGTAGGAGCATAGTGTTGCTTGAGAACCTGACATCTACCAGGTGGGGCTCTGTGTCTCCTGTAGCACAAAAGAGTATTCAGTGATTCTCGGCACCTCCAAGCTGAAGCCCACGGACTCCACGAGGGCCCTCTTGATCCCTGTGAGGGACATCATTATGCACCCCAAGTACTGGGGCCAGAACTTCATCACGGGTGATGTTGCCCTCCTCCAGCTTCACACTCCTGTCGTCGTCAGCAAGTACGTGCAGCCCATCTGCCTCCCGGAGCCCAACTACAACCTGAAGGTTGGGACGTAGTGCTGGGTGACTGGCTGGGGCCAGGTTAAACAGCACTTCTCAGGTGAGGAGGATGGGGTCGGGGTGACATGTGGTACCCCAGAGGGTGCACTCCTTTCCTCTGGGGCCTCTCCTGATGAGCCCCCTCATGGTGCCTCTCAGGAAGCTTGTGGCTGTTACCTCTGGCCCCTGGTTCTTTGGATGTGTTAGGATTGCTCCTCACATGGGAACTGTTGCCATGGTTTACACCATTGCATGTGCTATGGGCACTTCATTTAGTCCTAGGAAAACCTGATCATTTGCCTCTTACGGAAGCTCAGAGTCAGGGATTCATAAATTCACTCACTCACTGATTTGTTCACCTGAGAAACTTCGATGTTCAGGCATCTGCCACACGCCAAACCCTTGTCACTGGTAATGCATGCCCTGCCTCTAGGGAACTCATAACTGAGTATGGGTGGAAGCACAGATTAACAAGGAAAGAGGCAAAGACTTTGTCAGGTGATCTTGAGAGCAAGTCGGGAGGGATCTGGAATGAGCTTTGGCAGAGAGTCTGCCTGAGATGCCTGAAGGAAGAGCGAATGTCAATCAGGTGGCAGAGGGCACAGCCAGTATAGAGTTCAGAGGCTGGAGAGAAGCAGCATGGGGGTGGGCTCTCAATTTCTGAGTGGTTGCATTGAAACTTGGATTGTAGGCTGCTTGGTTCAGGAGCAAAAGATTCCCAGAGAAAGGGATCCTGAAATAGAGCCTTAGAGGGCAAGGTGCTTGCCCAACATGGTCCACACCACAGGGGGAAGGGCCAAGTGAAGGAGGGCATGGAGGTGTGAAGGGGTGTGGCTGAGTCCTGAGGATGGAGGAGACAAGACCCTGGGAATAGGCAGGGCTGAGTAGAGTGAGGAGTCAGTTCTCACCCCGCTGGACTCCTCCACAGCCAACTCCACACTGACCCCAGAGTTGCGGGAGGCCGAGGTGTTTATCATGGACAACAAGATTTGTGACCGGATTTACCGCAAGAAGTCCCTCATCCCCCGCGTTGTCCCCCTTGTCCTGGGGGACATGATCTGTGCCACCAATTGTGGAGAAAACTTGTGCTATGTGAGTTTCTGGGAGGTTCTGGCAGCTCTCCTTCGGTTGGGATGACCCCAGGTGGGGGGCATTTCCCCAGGGGGAGGTTTGCTTGGCCTCCCCCTTTGTCATCATCATCAGGAAGTGCTCTGCTCCCATCTGCCTTCCCCGTGACTTCGATTTTGCCTGATATTCTGGGATGGGATCCCCAACTGAGGAGTGAAGGAGGACTCCAGGTAGTGAGATCCTCAAGGAATGAAAGAAGCTTCCAAGCAGAACTCAGAGGGTGGGCATTCTGGGTCCCCCAATCCCTTGGGTCCCAGCTGGGTCCAGAGCCTCCATCACTCCTCTCTCTTTGCCTAGAGGCGACCCTGGGGGTCTGTTGGCTTGTGAAGTCGAGGGCAGATGGATTCTTGCTGGGGTGTTGTCCTGGGAAAAGGCCTGAGCCCAAGTACATAATCCAGGAGTGTACACCCGTATCACCAAATACAGCAAATGGATCAAGAAGCAAATAAGCAATGGGGTTCTCTCAGTCCCCTGCACCTCCTCCTGGCTCCTACTCCTGTCCTGGCTGCTGCAGCCCCAGATGGGCCCCTGATCTCCCTTCTCCTTTCTTCTCTGTGCTTTGCCTTTGCCAAATGGGGCCAGATCAAGGTTAGACCAAGGTCATGGGTCTGTAATCAACAAAGATCAAGGTGGGAAAAGAGTGGCCCCTGGGAGACTGGGTCCTGCTTTGACCTGCTAGTGGGGAGGATGTGGGTGACTAGGCTTTGAGTGACCAGGATAAGGGAAGTGTGGCCTAGAAGGGCTTTGGAATTGGGGACCATGATAGCAGGGATTAAATCTGTGCAAACATGAGCTGGCTCTGTTCTCTCTTCTGTGTGGCCCCCGGGGGTTGGGGGTTGGTGTGTGGGTAAGGCCTCCTGGAATTAATTCTGCCAGCAGGCTCCCCAGAGTGGGGACTGATGGTTTTTGCTATATCACTTGTGCTGGGGCTTTGGGAAAGGGCCTGGGCCTGAGGCATCAGTTTCCTCAACTGGAAATTGGGCATGCTGTAAGACAGCAGTTGAGACATGCACTGTAGGTGACAGTAGGAAGGACCCACATATCGTGCTCCAAAATCAGCTTTCTTTTTTTTTTAAAAATGGCATTAAAAAAAAAAAAACTGATTATAAAAGTTCCCCTACTACTTTTTTTTTTTTTTTTTTTTTTTGCGGTACGTGGGCCTCTCACTGTTGTGGCCTCTCCTGTCACGGAGCACAGGCTCCGGACGTGCAGGCTCAGCGGCCATGGCTCACGGGCCCAGCCGCTCCGCGGCATGTGGGATCTTCCCGGACCGGGGCACGAACCCGTGTCCCCTGCATCGGCAGGCGGACTCTCAACCACTGCACCACCAGGGAAGCCCCCCTCCTACATTTTTTAAAAATTAAAAACAATTAAAAGCAATGTCTGAATTTTTGTTGTGATTTACCAAAAAAATTCAGAAATACATGTAAAGATTCTCCCTTGCTCATTCACCCCCACCACCAATGCTGCTCCCCTCCCCAGAAGTAATCATTGTTGGCATCCTTAAATAAAATATCTTTATGGTTTTTAAAATAAATAGAATCTTATATATGTATTATTAATAGCCTACATTAAAAAAAAACTATATGCCTTGAAAACCTATGTCAGTACCTAGAGCTATTCATAATTTTACATTATTGCATGTGTACCGTGTGGATGTAATGTATGTTATTTAACCAGCACCAGGTTTTAGGCTGTTTCTGACTTGTCAGCATTGTGACAGTGCTGCCATGAGCATATTCCTGCGTGCTCGGGGGTGGGGTGGGGGAGAGCACAGTCTGAAGCATTTCTGCAGCGGTCTTCCTAGGAGTGGATTCAGGGGAGGACCATCACAGTAGACACAAATTTAGTAATTTTGGATGAATATAATTTACTCCTCCCAAAAGCTGAACCAGTATACATTCACACCTACAGTATACAAGAATGAATGCTTCTCCTTTTTGCTAAAAATGGATATTATTAATCTTCAAAAATTTTGCCCATCCAGTGGTAGAAAGTTATATCATTGCTGTTTTAATTTGCATTTTCTTGATTGGAAAAATGTCTTTTCATGTGTTTATTGAAAAAAAGGTATACCTTTTCACTAGTAAATCCTCCGTTCATATGCTTATTTTAGAAATTAGGTTGTTTATCTTTTTCTCATGGAAGGTCTTTATCTTTTCTGAATATTAAGCTTTTGTCAATTATTTTACAAATATTTTCTCCAGTTGTTGTCACTTATCTTTTACAAATATGTGGAGTATATGGGTAATTTTCCTGTAAAGACTTTAAAAATTATTATTGAATGAAGTCAGTCAGTGTTTACTTTCTTTATGGATTTTGTGGCTTGCTTAACTTGGCCTTCTCCATCTCCAGATTATAAAACTATCTTCACATATTTCTTTTAATATTTTGATAAATTTATTTTTTATGTGTAACTGTAATCCTTTTGAAATTTCCGTTATACATAGTGTGAGTCAGGCGCTAACTCTGTTTTCAACTGGAGAACCAACTCGGTTGACATTATTTCTTGTAGAGTCCATCCTTTCCTGCTGATTTGAATGTCCACATGTATAATAATGAAATCCTAATATATTTGTGGGTGTGGTTTTGAAACCTTTATTATTTCCCACTAATCTGTTTGTTTGTTCCTGGGCTAGTGCTGTACTGTTTCAATCAGCTTCATGTTATGTTTTGTTAAATGGTAGCAAAAGCTCTCCTCTTCTTTAAAAAAAAAAATTGCCTAATCTACAAAGTTTGCCTTCCATATAAACTTTAGAAACAGTTTGTCGGTTTTCATTAAAAATGTTATTGGTATTTTAACTGAACTTAAATACACAGAATAATTTGGGGAGAACTGTCATTTTTACAGTGTTGAGTTCCTAACCAGGAATATGGTATATGTCTCTATTCATTCAGCTCTTCTATTCATGGATGTCTGGAAAACCATTGAGTTTATTTCTAAGTAGTTTACAGATTTTGATTATGTCTGTTATGGGTGGTATCTTATCTTTTCCCATTACGCTTTTTCTAATTCTGCATATTAGGTATTTTAAAGCTGTTGATGGATTTAAAAAAAAAACAGTGATCTTGATTTCTGGTCATCTTGCAAAACTGTGTATTAAATTCAGTAGTTTTTCAGTTGATTCTCTTGGCTTATTTTGGGGTAATCACATCACCTAAAATGGTGACAGCTCCCTCTTGTCCTTTTTGAAAGTCACACCATTTATTTCTTTTGCTATCTCATTGCTGGAGACTCCAGCACAATATGAAATAGTAGCAATAATGGTGAGGGTACATGTGCTGACCCTGGCTTCATTCTTTCATTCATTCCCCAGATACTTGGAATTTCCTCTGTGTCAGGCACTGTTTTGGGCCCAGGTGACACAGTTGTGAACTGTTAAGATGATTATTCTTATTTAATTTGTTTACTTAGTGAAACACATGACTAGATCTCCGGTAGATTTCTTAGGTAAATCCTGTAATACACTCTGGATAAAATTTCTTCTGTTTTGTTTAGAATTTTTGTTCCAATATTGGATTGGCCTACAATTTTCCTTTCTGTTCCACCCTTGGTGCCATTGCTATGCTAGCATCTTAAAACATGTTGAGGCGCTTTCTAGTCTTTTCCTGTGCCCTAGAGCAGTTTATATAACACCAGCATTATCTGTTCCTTACGTTTGGTAGATTGTGCACATAAAACTTATTGGGCCTGATGCCTTTTTTAGGGGACAAATCTTTGACTATTTAAAAAAAAAATTTCATAGTTATTGGCTTAGTTGGGTTTATCACCTCTTTTTGCATTAATTTTAGTCAAATAAATCAATTTAGCTTAGATTTAAAAATTTTTAACTGATACGTAAAATTTGAACCTGTGGCTCCTTTCCTATTTTTAATATTATTTACATGTGTACGCTTTCACTTTTCCTAATTATTAAAGATTAAAATTGCCAAATTTTTGTCTATTTCATAGGTATTTTCCAAAAAAACACCTGATGTACTGTTGTTGGTTAGCTTTATGGTATCCCTCCTTCCCTCATATTACTACAGGTCCTAGTCATTAGTCCACACTGTCTGCCATGTTGCTCATCATCTTCAGGAAGAAGCTGTCACACTCCCAGCTCCCAAGTGGGTGGCTCATTGGCTTGATCTAATTAGCATAGTCCAGTGCCCGGCCACCTGACCCCAGTTAGGTTATCCCAATAAGCATAAGGTATGGTTAGAGGAGAGAAATGCATACTGTCTCTCTTTTTAAAAATTATTTATTTATTTATTTATTTATTTTTGGCTGTGTTTGGTCCTCGTTGCACGCGGGCTTTGTCTAGTTGTGGTGAGCGGGGGCTACTCTTCCTTGTGGTGTGCGGGCTTCTCATTGCGGTGGCTTCTCTTGTTGCAGAGCGTGAACTCTAGGCATACAGGCTCAGTAGCTGTGGCACACGGGCTTAGTTGTTCCGCGGCATGTGGGAATCTTCCCGGACCAGGGCTCGAACCCATGTCCCCTGCATTGGCAGGCGGATTCTTAACCACTGCGCCACCAGGGAAGTCCCCATACTGTCTCTCTTAATGTGGATGAGGAGGCAGAAGGATGCTGGCAACCATTTTTCAATAAGGGGATCAACTCAGAATGAAGCCACCATCACTGAAGAGAGGAGACAGAAATTTTAAGTCTGTTTGAGTGGAAGTTTCTCTTACTTGTCAACTCCTAAATGGTACAAACTACCTTTTGATTTTAGTGATCAAATATGCTTCTTTTTGTTTATTTTATTTCATGAAAGTTCTTTTAGCTTTAGTAATTCAATCTTCTCCTTTGGGGAGATTTACTTTATTTTTCTTTTTCTAACTTCTTGAGTAGTATGCTTAGTTCATTATTATAGACTTTTTTCATTTCTCATATTTTCACTAATTCCATAAAATTTCCTGTGAGTCTCACTTTGGCCGTATTTCACAGGATTTTGTATGTACTGACCTCATTGCCATTCATTCTATATTGTTTTTTATTTCACACTGTATTTCTTACTTAACCCAAGAGTACTATATGGGTGTTATTTAATCTCCTGATGGATAGTTTGGGGGAGGGACAGGGGCTTCTCCTTTTTCTCTATTAAAAATTATATCAATATGGATTTAATTATTTCCACATTCTGGAATGTATTGAGGTTTTCTTTGTGCCTAGTATTTGGTCAGTTTTATTGAATATTTCATGTGCGTTTGAAGTAAAAGTGTGTGTTTTGAAACAGAGTTCTAGCTAGAACTGACTGGATCAGGCTTGTTGATTGTGTTATTCAAATCCTCTAACACTTCAAATATTTTATATCTATAAATCTGTTGATTTCTGAGCGGTTTATCATGAGAATTCAGAGTTTGTCTATTTCTTCCTGCAGTTCTAACAATTCTTGCTTCATGTTTGAAAGCTGTGTTGTTAGGAGTGCAAGGTTCATGCCTGCTGTACCATCTTGATGGGTTATACCCTATCAGTGTAAAATATGCCCGTTGTCCTATTTAATATTATTTCTTTTTACAAAGATCCAGATCATAGAGTTCATTCCTAACTCTGCTGTAATAATTGGTTAGGGTATAATTTTATATTTTGTACATGTTTCTTACAGATTTTCCTTGGGGTTATTTTGTACCTTTTACAGTTTCTTTCTTTGAACATTTAATTCATTTATTTTCATTCTTTGTTATTCAATAATAAATACCTTTAAGGTTATAGATTTGCCTTGAACACAAAGTTCAAAACACAAAGTTCAAAAAGTTTTTTTAATGCATTGCTCTAGTATTAGTATTTTCTAAATAGTTTATAGAATGTTTTTATTTCCTTGAAATAAGTTAACCAACTTTATTTTTTAAATTTTCAAGTCATTTGTTTTATTTCACTTACTCATTCTTATTAAATCTTTGTTTCATTGCATCATGGTAAAAAATGTGGCCCAAACTAGTTCCACTTATAGGGAAATTATTGTGGTTTTCTTAGTAGTCTAGTGTGCAGTTGATTTTTATAGATGTTCAATCCCTCAAAGATAGACGAAGCTGGAGAAGACTCTCCCACTGCAAGTGAGGTTTTTCCATTTCTCGTGTATCACTGTTTGATGCTGTTACTGATGAACAGCTTTAATGTTACATAGTCATTAT